TGTATCGTATGTGAGCATTTAACATTCATATAGTTAACTCTACCAATACGCGAGTTTCGAGATTGTAACTCTCCTACGATAGAGGCGCAAAAAGTACCCATTTCAGCATGGAGGTGGGACAGGTTGTCTCTGTATACATAAGGTGCATAAATAAAAGAACGATATTTATGGCTTTTAAAATTTATTAAATGTTATAGAAAGATAATAATGTTAAGCAGTGATGCATTTGATGATTTTATCAAGCTCAACAATGCATACTTACAAATCTACTATCAATTTTCGGGTACTTGAAAACAAAAGAAACGTCGTAGTCTTTATAAAGAGTAACCAATTTTCTTGATTGTACGTACATTTTCTAAAAAGTTAGTATTTTTTTAAGGCATAATAAAAAAAAGAATCAATATGTCATTTAGATTCCCGACGTGCAATGATCAGATGCATGTGTACCTTATTTATTAGAGGTCCATATCTCTTCCCTCGTCCGAAAAGTCTCATCTCCACTGATATTTTCTTTTTTGTTTCGATTTTTTTGCTTTAAAAAATGATGCCTTTACCTTAATTCCGGTATTCTCAAGTTGTAGAGTACATCTTGACAATCGTGTATTTATGATAAACCGGTATATCGATGATGTAATGTATCCAACACACACAACAAACAAATATCTGTCCCACCTGTTTGTTTACGCGGCAACGAAATTCCCCTCCTCAACGAAAGAGCGCACCACGGGAGATAATCTCGAAACTTGCATATTTATGCGGGAGTCTACCGCTTTTTCAATCCATCTCCCGCCTACTGCTTTTATCCGTAAATCTACCGCTTTTCTATAAAAGCATTTTTGGTTAGCTTGGGTATCCATTTTGAAGCCACTCAAGATAAAATTTCATTAGATATTGCTTGATTTGACCCGGAAGCTTACAAATGCTTTTTTAGTATCGATGTATACATAGATTTCAAGCACGTTTTTGACAACGACAACACCACAAAACTCAGTGATTACAATAGTTATGATAAATGTTGTCCTAATCAATGCCAAGAAAAAGAAGATATAACATTCTAGAAATGGATGAAACGTTTGACATCGTCTAAAAAAGCACAGAATGATATTGCATTTTTATTACCCTTGGCGCCATTGTGTTTCTTTTCACATTACGTGAGAATCTGAGCTCTTCTTTGCTCCATTCTTTAAAAAAAATGTTTATTGGCTTTCTTTCTGATCGCTCGTAAGTTAAAACCCAAATAACATATACTTGACAATGGGTTACTAAGTATACCACAAAGGAAAATACAATCACCATCCAATTAAATCGTAGTAGGCGGAGCCAATATGATTTGAATGAATCGGTTTAGCTTTTTGTGATGAAGTACAAATTAAAGTTTACAGAGAACTTGCATGTGCTTTGTGTCTTTAATTTGACTCCGCCCCAGACAATCAGCTTTAAAAAGGTCAGCCAATGGAACGAGGTGTTGCTTTACGCCTATGGGAATGTTTGATTCAAGTAAGAGTAAAAAGAAACACTTTGGTGCAATGCATCCTATCAGTAATGTCAAAAGAAATCACTTGATTGACAAAGCCATGAGGCATGAGTTATATTGCATCTCTACTTTCGTTTTCGATAATCGCGGGAAATTCAGTTTATTTAACGAAAGATAGGAACAAGGTTTAGATCTGGATAGGGGTGGGACGATACACACATCTTGCGATACGATACGTATCTCGATATATTGGCACGATATGATACGTATCTCGATATTATGACAAGTTATAAAACTATTCAAAAGAATTAGTATTTTATTTCCTTTTTTGTCTTGAAATTAAATCAGCAAATTATTCTATATCAAATAATGTTTTCTTTGAAATTAATACTTGAAGTTTATCAATTTCATTGACTAAAACTTTTACAAAAAGAATAATACATGTATATATTATTATTACCAAATTACTATTCAGAAGTTGTTTACAAATAGTTGTATAGTTCATCAGAGAACACTGACTAAAAATTCATTTGAAAAACATCGAGCATATTTACATTATTATTAATTCATTGCTGAAAGTCTGTAGCCAAGTTGAGATTACAACAAAAAAGTACGAGATGGACTAACAATTAATAATATCAAATGTTCTGGAAACGATATTTTCTGTGTATAGCACGCATTTCATACTGATCTTTTCTTGTCCAATCTTCTGAGTCTGCTTAAAAGTGAAAACGTTTTACCCTAACCAAAGACTTATTAGCTCTAAAGTGTGTTTTCAATATCAACATCATCTCTTCGCTTCGTACAAGCCGCCATTTTCCAAGGACAAAACTTTCATTTTCAATTTTTGGATAGGTCGTTCGTGTATCGTTTCATACCGATATTTGAATGCTTGTATCGTAAACCGTATCTTGGAGGAAAATATCGGTATGTATCGGTGTATCGGTATATCGTCCCACCCCCTAGATCTGGATTTAACAATGTCATCATCTGCTGTGTTTGTGAGCTGAATGAACATTCAGAATTATTGCTTCCAGGCATCTTCGCTAGCCAAGGGTTTCTGATACGCTACTCTCCTCATAAACCCTTGGCCTACGATGTTCATAGAAATCGAGATTTTTTTCCAGAGTTCTGATTGGATTTCAATAAACCCAGGTCGACCAATCAGCAATTGTTTTTTGTAAATGACGATATTTGCATTCGGGATACATCCTCACTCTTTAATCTCGGAAATGAAAAACGCAAGAAAACAACGATCCGTAAGATAACATTCAATTCTATGAATAGCCATGGTGTCATCCAATATCTTCTAAATATGTGACTAAGAATCTATATTGAAGCTTCAGATTTGTTCTATAAATAATGAATAAACATAACTCAATTATTGCTTCTTAATTATTCTTGAAAAAACTTTGATTTAATATTTCTGGCGATGACGCAATCTGTGCGTACCTGATAGATTCGAGATCACGTGACGGAAAACAATCCCGTCTTTTGACTTCACCGTATGCCAAGGGTTTATGAGGAGAGGAGCGTATCAGAAACCCTTGGCTAGCGAAGATGGCTTCCAGGCTATATCAACAAGAATGACACTACTAAAGGCTAGTGCTGGGTATCGCGGCTGAAAAATCATATCGCGATATATTGCGATATAATATTTTGTATTGCAATATATCACAATATAAATTTTTTAATAAATTTTGCTTTTCATCAATGTTAAATGAAAACAAAAACTCAAATTACATGTAATCTCGAGTTGATATTGCAACTGCCTAATCGCGTTGTGTGTAAGCAAGTGGCAAGCAAGTTTTTTTGTGGCACAACTTAAAGAATCAAGTTGTAATATTCAGATTCTGCTTTAACATGAAGAGCTTTCATGTAACAGTTGTCTTCTTTTCGTTTCGACAGCCATGTCTCTGGTTTCCGATCAAACTTCACGTTGCTTGCCGCCATATTTTACCTTGAAAAGGGCAAATAACTCTTTTTGTAACAATTTATAGCATATCGAACCCGAACCGGTATTCACAAAAAAATACCGCGATACGTATTGTGAAGAACGAAATCGGGATACACCGGTTAACCAGTAATATCGCACAGCGCTACTAAAGGCTGTTAAGCAGTCAATCAAAGCAAAATCATGAGTTATGTTTTATAATTTATGGCCAACTCAAAGCATTTCTATCTACCTCATAGCATTGATACTTGAGCCATTTAAGGCCATATCAGGCCAAGCTTAAAAAATCCTTTGTTTGCAGTTGCCGACCTATAATTTTTAGAGTTGGTCGGTAGGTAGGCATTCTTTTTTTTTTTCTTTTTTTTTTGAAAAAAATGGATTTTTGTTAGATAACAAATAAAAGAGGTTTTCATAGACCTGCTAGCCATGAATAAGCTCAACACTTGTTATAAACCACTGATTGATAAAACAAAAGTCAAAATTTGAAAAAGAAACAGTTTCAATATTCTGAAAAATTGAAAAAAAAAAAAAAAATTACAAAATGGCTAAAAAAAAAGTTTGGGTCGGGTGCATTTTCAGTGGGTCGGTAGGCAACTGCAAACAAACTTATTTTTATTTTAGGCCTTAACATAATATACATCTTTGTAAATCCATGCTTAAAACAATTAATGCGCACAATGGTACCGCTTTTGAGGTCTGAATCTCCCTATTTTTCATCACAATAGGTTAACATGTATGAAATATCAATGGATTTACTTGAAATTGTCACCTGATTTTGGCAAAAAATTGTACCGACTTATAAGCGGGTCAAAAGCAAATCCCACAAAAATAAAGTCAAAAAATGCAACCTTCTTATAGGCAGACCAACTTATAGGCGAGTATATACGGTAACTCGTATACATAACAAAGATCTATGAAATAAACTTTAACCTTCCCATTTGTACAGTACTTTTTAAGTAACTAAAGAAAATTGATAATGATTTCAATGATTGAAAAAATTCTATCTTTTTAGATGTAAGTTGAATGTAAAATCAATTCACTATTAGGGGTAAAGGATGGAAAGGTCTTTAAAAAACGGAGAGGGATACATTATTGCTTTGATATGCATATTGTGATACTTGGGATTAATTGATACATCTCTAGAGAAAACCTTATATCTAATGAATATCAGGTATTAGCCTGTATCAGTTTCGAAATAATTTGGATCTGACAACACTCAGCTTGCAACGGTAAATGAAAAATGTTTATTACACTGTAATTTACAGTCTAAGTAAGTAGTCAGTTGAATATTGTGAAGAAAGTATATTTGATCCCTTCGAAATTTCATATGCAGTCATAAAAGAGAAGAAATAAAGTGTAAAATAGGCTTCTACAAAATCCACCAATTTATCATGTGCAGATGTTTATAAAACAGTCTTAAAACACAATCACATTTTCTTACATTTCATTTTACACAATCATCATCATGAGCAATTTGCAAACTTTCAGTTTAAAGGTTACATAACTCAACCTTTATACGCTTATATTGCTGAAAAACAAAGAGATATTAACAATACTTTGTTCATTACTTACCTACATTCCTTCTGCGTGTGCCAATAACCAAATTTTCTTCTCTAAAAACACACCTCGATCCTCAACAGTCAACTTCTGCGCAGTGTACCGGAAGTGATTGTTAAACACGGTAGCCACACGTTTCGGCCCATCAGTTACATGGGCCAGTCGGATAGGTCTACAGTTTTAGACAGGTCGGGCCTCGATTAATGTATTCAACATATTTTGCAAAATTATTTCGTTAAAACATTCTGATTGTACACACAAGTACTCTGAAGATTATTCATGTATTAACATGCTATGTGGTGCATACCAGGGGCGGATCCAGGATTTGAAGTTAGGGGGGGGGCGCTAAAAGTAGGCAAGGGGTCTGGGGGCCGCCTTGAGGCCCCCAGTGGGTCCAGGGCAAAGCCCTGGTGGGGGTCCAGGGGGAGAAGCCCCCGGAAGCTCCTGGATTCTAGAGATTTTGTAGGGTAAAAATGAGGTCTACCGAGTATACATATTAACATTTTGTAGAAAGTTTTTGATTGGCGAAACACACCTGTGATTTATGTTAACTAACTTGACAAAAGTTATTGTCTAAAAGTTAAAAGCGTTAGAGAGGATTTGTTTAAGGCAATGCCCTCCAGTTATAGGTAAGTGTGTTTTATATTGTCTTGCAAATATTCTGTACCCCCCCCCCTGAAAGTAGTGCCACTGCATACACATTCTTTCGGGATATTATTTCTCGTTTGGTATCTGACCAGTTTATTAATATAAAGTAACAATCAGTTATAACGTTTGCTTACAAAAAGGATTTTTAAAATGAAAACGAGAGCGCCCTACGCAAACGCTTACGTGATTCTTTACTATTTGCATATTGATTTATGTTAACTAAAAGAAGTTCAGTGACAAGTTATTTACAAACATGTTGATGAAACAAGAATATCAACAGTCTTGTTTTAAGCCATCATTTCGTAAGTTCTATGTACAGGCACTTGATTCGGAAATTATGATTATACTATGTGAAGAATATTTACATTACTATATAACTTTAACTTTAGAAGAGGCATAACCAGTCTTAAGAATATCTTCTCACAAACTTAAAATTGAAACTGGCAGATATATTGGACTTGAAAGAGATAAAAGAATATGTGAAAAAATGTAATTTGAAATACATCAGTTATAAAGCACAACAACATGATATGTATACATGTATTTTACTTTTAACACAGTTTACTGTATTTTTTTTGCTTATCAACTTATTGATTGCCTTTGTCTAAACATGTACCTTTCATGCCTCTCTGGGCCAATTATTTTCACCCTAAATGTTACGGATTTTTGCCGTTCGTTCCGCATCATGACAATTAAGGAGCACACAGCTGATATGCCCAGTCCATAGGGGATGCCCACTCCTCCATGGCAGCTAATCCCACCTCTCTGATCATTGGCATCGGAAGCAAATTGAAAGTAGGGGGCGGGGACTAAGTGTAAGAAATAAAAAATTCAGACCTACAAAAAAAACCTGACAAGCCAAAAAAAAAAAAAAAATAATAATCAATAAATAAATTAAAAAAAAAATAAAAAAATAAAACGAAAATATGACCAAACGCGAAAATCCTATATTCGAAGAGGGGGGGGGGGCTTCCTTCAGGACCAATCCCCCCATCCGAAAAAACTACCACTCAACCCTTTTTTGACCTAAACTGCAACGTGTCTGTGGAAAGGGAGGCTAAACCCACGTCCCAATGATCCAATGATTAATGCCTATTATTATGTCTATCTTTGCAAAAAAAAGTGGGGGACTAAGCCCCCCCCCCCTGGTTCCGACGCCTGTGCTGATGTTTTAGAGGTCCGTGTTTTAATATTCACTGGTCTGACTGGGTCTAAATGTCCGTGGTCCAAGTGTTCTGGAGTCGAGTTTTTTGAAAAATTCGCCATGGCGGTCGAACCAAATGGCTCAAAGAAAAGGAAGACAGAGGATGACTTTGAGTCTCCAGGAAACTCTGAAAAATTATTTTCATTAGCAGAATTTGAATTTTGCAAATTGTTGAAGAATGACATGAGGAGTAAAACTGCATTTATTCACGCTAAATGCAGAGAGAAAGATGCTGTTTTACTGATGGAGAAAAGTGCATTCGAACCAAAAACTCTGCAGAATTTGTTATCCAAGAAGACCGAACTGGTTGAAACATTGAAAAATGATATATACAGTACTTATGATACCTACCCTGAAAAAGAACTGAACGGTAGGCAAATTCAAGATGATGAACTGGGGCAGTTTTTTGGTCTTGTTTTGTGTATGACCAGCTGGTGACAGGGTGAAACTTGTTTGAAGCAGTAAAACGAGCATTAACAAGGCAGAAAGCTTTTAATTGTGACGTCATAATAGAGCGACGCAAAAACACAATGCTCCGTGACATATTTCATGTGACAAAATTCAACAAAATAAGATGTAAACAACAAACAAAACGCATGGATTGCATTAGAATGGGAATAACTGATCTTCTAATTTGGTATTTGCGACTGTTAATGCTAATTTAACGGTCGCAAACATCCATTTTACCGGCTCCGCTTACGCGTCGCCGGTAGAACTCAGTTTGCGACCGTTAAATCAGCATTAACGGTCGCAAATACCAAATTAGAAGATAGTTATTCCCTAATTTAATATACCTATTATTGTATCCTCAAGTTGTAACTTATTTAAAATATTGAAAAAAAAGCTTTAAAAAAGAGAAAATATTTTAATATCATTAATTTCTTAATTGTATTTTAAAAATATGATTTTTTTTATTTGTAATAACTTTTGCACATAATTGAATATAAAATTAAAGTATATAACGTTATAGTTTTCATGTTCATAGGAATCTAGCTGAGGGGGGAGGCATTTGTCAACCTCAAAATCAAATCTGCCTGAACCATTATATTTTCCTCAAACCATGAAAATTGGACCCCTTGAAAATATATGACTTTACAGTAACAAAACAATTATTGACTGCATTTGCTGACTCCGTGTCAGCAATATTTCAAATCCTATGGAAGCTAACATAATCAATGTTGCCCTTAACCTCAGTCAATATTTGTTAAATATTGTGACAGCCCAACAAGAAATATCAGAATTTCTTGAATGTCAAATATATTTTCTGAAAAACTATATAGTATTTATACCATTTTTTTAAATTAGTATTTGTTGGAATTACTAACTAATAACCATATGCTTGTGAAAAATGTTTTGGACAATAATTTTTTTTCCTTTTAATTAGGTCTGAAAACCACATTGATATTTCCTGCCACAAGTCACCACATCACGAAGTATACAGAGCAAGATTTCCACATCATACATGAGTCAGCAGAGGATTACAATAAAATCACACTCCCCTATATGAAAAATAAGGCCCTTAGCAATCAGGTATTGTGCTCATATTTCAGAAAAATATCAGCCACTTCAAAAAACATTATTCAGAATATGGGAATAATGACACAATTCTTGACGTCATATAATGTACCATATATGTTGAAATTTTAGCAAGGCACAAATTTCGTGATTTCTCCTTAAAAAATGGTAATTTTTAGTGAGAGGTAATTTTATTGATTTTAAAATGCTTACTAAGAAGCTATTACAAATGAAATGCAATTAATTTTTAGCAATATTCAATTTTAGCGATCTCAGGACCCTCACTAATAATGCCAAAATTAAATCCTCGATAAAAATTCTACTTACATGGTATTGACCAGCATGAAAATTACAAGACCAAGTGATATTCGAAGAATGGTCAACAAAAATTGAGCAGGGCCAAAATATTCCTAAATGATCCTTGTTTTTATTATTTAAACCTTAACACACTAAATTTTTCAGGGTAGGGTGGATGGTGGGGGTTGATGTTTGTTTACTGTAGAAGTACATGTACTTTTTTTCACAGGGTCATACTTCCGCGGAATCTCAATTTCTGTTTAATCCACGGGTATAAAATTACGCGGATTTCGTAGACTGTCACTATATGCCTTACATTTATATTAAGTATGCTTCGACAAATTTCCGCGGAAAATTTGTGCCCACATACATAGCGTAAATTAAAACCACGCGGAAAAAAGTACTTCTACAGTATATAAAATATATATATTTATCAATAATACATGAAGTGTATTCATTAGTACATGACTACTATTAGTAGAAGTGATCAGGCTTTGTTCATTCATTAGTACATGACTACTATTAGTAGAAGTGATCAGGCTTTGTTCATTCATTAGTACATGACTACTATTAGTAGAAGTGATCAGGCTTTGTTCATTCATTAGTACATGACTACTATTAGTAGAAATGATCAGGTTTTGTTCATTCATTAGTACATGACTACTATTAGTAGAAGTGATCAGGCTTTGTTCATTCATTAGTACATGACTACTATTAGTAGAAGTGATCAGGCTTTGTTCATTCATTAGGCCAAAAAAAAATATATCCCTGTTTCCTGTCCCCCGACCAAAAAAAATAGGGTAGGTAGGTAGGAAAAACATTTTATTTTAGAAAAAAATTTTATTTTCGAAATTGAAGATGCAGAACACATTAAACAAAGAAAGCCTTATGTTCAGTTCAGAGGCAATGTGGTTTAAAAAAGATTTAACATTTTCCATAAGGCCTCTGTGTAATAATGTCTTTTCCCAGCAAGATGCAGCTTTCACAGATAGGAAGTACAGTTTTGGATCTCTGAAGAAGCTCCTTTTTCACCTCGCCCTCTCCACAACAGTATGAACACAAATTTGCATGCCCAAGACCACTCCTATAGTAGGCTAACTCAAGAGGACTTTCACAAGTTATGTTGGATCTAGCCATCACGGATTTATACAATGGATTGGACGGTGGCAGCAGAGGGGAGCCACATGTGTAATCAAGCTCGCTGAGTCCACATACAATGGAATACTGTTGTCTCTCAGTTAACTTGTGTTTTGAATAGATTACTCTGGGCTTTCTGCATTCCACACACTCTACAAGCGACCTGGCATTCTGTACAGTACAGAGACTTGGTGTTGATTGAGGTTCTCACTTGTCTTCCCTTGCATATTTGTAGAGCATTCTTGGCCATCTGTAGATTCTTCTTGATTTGCAGTGTTGACTAGTGTATTTTCAGTGGAGTCAATTGGTACCGGTTTCTTTTTTTTCTCTTTCAAAAGTTTAAGGGTTGGTCTGTCCTTTTCTGTAGTTTCCTGCCCTCTAACCTCTGAGTAAGGAAGGTAATGATCCCCTGTAGCATCCAACTGGGGGTCTGGCAGCCATGAAGGTAAAGGACTTTTAGGGGGAATGCAACAAGCAACATCCTCACATTTCTTGATTTGAAAAACATACTGTGTACATTTACAGTGCCTGTCCATCCAAGCTTGGTATGACTTTACTTTTTTCGTGTGCGTCTTCTGTAATTTAGTTAAGTCCATTTCGGGGAACAGTTCTTTAAGGTGTCGTTTCAAAACCTCAATATCTTCGTCACTAAGAGGATCTAAGACCTGGATCGGTTCATCTTTAAGCTTCAGTCTGATAAATCTGTTCTGGATAGTTCGTTTAACTTCTTCCAGGGATTCTGTCCACGCTTTTCTTACTCCCAAGTTTGGATTTTCTTCATGAAATGTCCTGATTTCTGCCATGCTATTCTTGTTTTTCAAACCATCTTCAATTTTCTTCTCACAGGGTGTCCTCTCTAAAGATACATTTTGCAGCCCTAGATTTAAAATACTCATCACTCTTTCTGCCGGATTTGTATAACTGTGTCCTGGTGCACAGCGAGCATGGATCAAGAGGTCCAAGTTAAACTCCTTAAACAAGCAGACATTTGCCAATTTAACAGCTTCAAGTGTGTTTCGCTGATCTACTCCACCATCGGTGAACTTTAACAGTATTGGCTTCAGATTTTCTGAATTCTGCATCATCTTTGAGAGGAATGCTGCATGTCGAAAAGGAGAAGCAGGCTGAAAAACGGAATCATTCAGCACAGTAAAAACCTTTCCACGGACAAAAGACTTGTCAACACTTTTTGGCACTTGGCATTGTAATACAACTGATGGTGTGAGGGAACACCGAGTCATATCATGATCAAGGGCAACAAGGGTACTGGAAGTAGGCACTATCGACTTTTTCCCCCTCACTCCTGTTGATACTGCTGTACCTGGATCACCGATTGGTACTTTTGCCTTATCATCACAGCACACCATCATGCATTGTTCTGCTTCCTCTACAGCAAAGGACTTCAAATACTTCAACTGGGCATTACAAAAATGGCTGTCAGGATGAGTCGTGCGTAGTTGTCTTCTTTGAATTTTGAATTGTACATTCAATCGAGAAGTAAAATTCAAAGCTCCTTGACAATATGGATTTCTTGGAGCAAACTGTAGTTTCACAAGACTTGCTGAGGGAACAGGGGTGCCAGGTGGACAAGTAGATGCCGCTCTTTGGATCATGTCTGAAACTGAAATAAATTCACTGAGATGAGCATTGCCGTGTCTCCTGTCATCAGCAGCTGTTATATCCTCAAGTGCATCCTGAAGTTTTTCAAAAAACACATCAAACTTTGTGTTAGGTCTTCCTGGATTGGTATGTCTCAGATCGGCAATCAAATCTGTATGGCCCAATGAAATGAGACGCAAACGCTCTTGCATAATAGGATTTGTAGTTTGGCTGCCATCAAATGCCAACTCCTTATATATATACTCCACCACAGATGGTGACAACGTGGTAATGTTGTTGATTTTCTCTTTAAACCCTTTTTTCATTTCCCGGGTGTGATATTCCTGCATTTCAGATCTTGCGGTCTGTAACAATCTGGCACCCTGGACTAATATCTGTGACTCTGTGCGGTTTTCTGATGTTTTAGAAATGATGAATGAGGCGATTGTAGATCCTCCTGGACAGAATTTTAAAATGTCCACTGGAACAGACAATTGAAGATTCTTGAGAAATCGGTATTTCTGCTTTGAGTCTATAAATGGTTCAGGGGCATGTTCTTTTTCATTAAAAAACAGAAAATCTCCAACTTCCTTTCCTTTCATGACAGCATCTAACAGGAGGTATTGCTGCTTGACTATTGCTGTTGGTTTCCTATGCTCAATAGTTGCATCTTCGGCTATTGTTCTTGCAGGGTGATTCTCTGCATGGGTTTTCTGCATTTCTTCATTCTTTGTTTCCAGGTACTTGCTGTAAGAGTCAAGACAGTCAGCCAGGCCCTGAATTTCTTTGCTTCCCTTCCTCCATGCTGCAGTTGAGGAAGTTACTGGCTTCAATAGAACACTACAAAAAAGTTTAACAATGTCTCAGATAAATCAATTTCCACTTGACAGACCAACTTCAGCATGATACATTGTTTACTTCAATTCAGTCATTAAAAATGAATTAAATGTCATATAAAAAATGTGTCAAATATTACATAATGCTACAGATATATCTTTAACATTTAAACTGACCTATATAATGTTTCTGCATGAGATTTAAGACATCCAGCATCAAGTGGCATCTGCTTCAATTTCTTTCTTTTCAATTCATTAAAGCCCTGGTAACCATCAAACACAGCAGGAATTGGAGTAACAGCCTCTCTGTCACATGCAGCATCATTAATTGTCATATGTTGGTTTGTAATGTACCATAATGCATTACATAACACCTGCAAAATATTTAGTAAGGTTAGGTTGAAACATTTAATATTTTACACATAAAACTATTTGAATTAATTTTATTGACCACAATATTTAAGTACTAAACTAACTTTGTTTGCATTCATACATTATAAAATCATAGAAAATACTGATTTAATTTGCAGAAATCTTATTTTAAAAAACTCTACATTGTGGTAGGGTAAATTGGACTTGGACAGTAAATCTTGAAATACAGGGTATTAAAGTAGTATATGTATGTTACATATTGTGTGAAGGCATGAAAAGATTTTAAAAATGAGAGTTAAAATAGACTGATTGTTAAAGATAAAAGAAAGACACACTAAACCATTTCCACATTTAAGAATGTAAGACACACACCAGTTTACAAATTTTAGTGCACAGACTAGCAAGCATAGGAGGGTCATTCCCTTTGCATTTTTTAAAACTTACCATATTGAATGTCAAATCTGTCAGAGAAAAAAAAATTTTCACATGCATCAAAACGAACTAAAGAAAAAAATATATTTTTAATATAATACACTTTGAAACACATACTTGAACGACATAGCTGCCCTCTGTCTCTACAACTGGTTTAGGAATATCCAGCTTATGTTGCTTAAAAAAGGTGTCGATCAAGGTGTTGTACAACTCATCCTTTCTTGTGAGCCCATCTTTCACTCCGGCACTATAAAATTATTATATTCTGATTTACAACTCAACATAAGGATATGGATTTGGACTTGTATAGCATTTTTTTCCTCTCAAGAAAATTTTAATATGAAAATATTTCAACATATTTGCATGTATCTCAAGTCTTTAATACACTGTTGGGCAGTCTATCTTATACAAGCAGAAATATGCCAATTTGCTATATAATTTATATAATACTAAACTGCAATTGCCATGATATATTTGTACATGTATTTTGAAGTAAACCTTTTCTGTTTCTTGTCAGGAAAAGAACGTCCCCCTGCCATTAGCAATTCAAATGCATTTACAGCTTTCTTTGTGGCAATCTCTGCATGCTGTCGTAATTCGCATACTTCAGAATCAGTCTGTTCTTTGCATATAAATGTGAAAGAACGTAAAGAGAAATTGTGCACAACTTCTCCAACTGTCAATGCACCGTGGATATTTGTCTGACCTTGTTCCGACACATGTACTGTAAAGTCTGCTTCTTTACTTGATTGGGCGCTGTGATACGCATTAAAAACATGTGAAAAGGTAGAGGTGTCCTGCACACTGGTAATAAATTTTCGACATTCTTTGTAATGAATGCATGGTGGAAATTCCAGAGACAGCACGCTTGCAGATCTCGCCGGTGCGCTCGCCATGTTACCGGGTCAATCTTATCATTCATGCGCTTTTTGACAGCTCCAGCCAAGTCTTGTATTCAAACGTTTACGAGACTCCTAAGGTAAAACGTAAAATATTGTCGGATGGCTTTAATATTTCCGGAAAACAATGAACCAAAAAAAAAAAAAAAAAAAAAAAACGAAAAAAAACTTTTAGGGTCGGCGAGTAAAATGTAGGGTCGGTCGGGCGACCGGAAACAAGAGTATTTTTTTTTTTGGCCTTAGTACATGACTACTATTAGTAGAAGTGATCAGGCTTTGTTTATTCATTAGTACATGATTACTATTAGTAGAAGTGATCAGGCTTTGTTCATTCATTAGTACCTGACTACTAGAGTTGGGTATTGCGAGTGAAAACCATATTGCGATATATTGCAATATTTTACTTTGAATATTGCAATATATTGCAATATATTGTAGATTAATTATCATTAATAAATTCGAGCAGAATGTTTGAAATGCTTTCAAGTTCAAAGACTATTTGAATTTATCTTTAAGTTTTAAAGGGGGAGGAGGGATAAGACATTAATTGCACACATAATTATAACACTTTACTTTTAATCAAATACCAGGTAAAATAATAAAAACAAAATGAACCCCCTTGGAGAATTTTCAAATTGAAATAAAAAATTATACAGAATATATAAACTTTTTTCATTTGGGGGTTGGATCTCAATGAAGTAGCATGAAATGCTATTCAAGATTAAAATAATACATACATGAAAAAAAAATTGATTGTGGTTATACAGAATAAAATTAAAGCCAGAAAGATCTTGCGACCTATTTTCGGGCGTTTTGGTGTTTTAGTCTAATCCGACCTAATTTCACATTATGACAAACGATCTACTAGTTTTTTAATATATTTGACCTTGGTATAGCATGAAGGTGTTTAAAATGGCATGAAAGTTATTAAAAATAAAGCAACACTACTTCAAGTGAAAACACGGATGACCATTTACTTGTAATATGAACATGAACTTCACATTTCATCGCGATGTCGATCGTGTAGATTCATTGCGAGATTTTGAAAACCACAGGACACTTGGTATACACTGTGTAGAAATGTTTTACATATTATCTTTCTTATTAATTTTATTTTAAAGTCTTATAATAAATTATAAACTATACTTAAAGTAAGATATTTAAAATTGCAACAGTGAATGAAAAGCTCTCTCTCCTTTCTCTCTTTCTTTCGAACGCTCTCTCTCTTTCTCTGAAAGCTGACGAAGTATTGTTATAACAAGATTGAAAAAGCCTGAGGCAGTTACAAGTATTATTTCAATAGTTTATACAATAAAGGAGATTTTTATATATTTTATAAATATCGTGAAATACCGGTATCTGATTTTCATATCGCGGTATATTATCATGGTGGATAATACCGCAATATACAGATATACCGGTAATATTGCACACCCTTACTGACTACTATTAGTAGAAATGATCAGGATTTGTTCATTCATTAGTACATGACTACTATTAGTAGAAGTGATCAGGCTTTGTTCATTCATTAGTACATGACTACTATTAGTAGAAGTGATCAGGCTTTGTTCATTCATTAGTACATGACTACTATTAGTACATAGAAAAAGTGATCAGGCTTTGTTCAATCATTAGTACATGACTACTATTAGTAGAAGTGATCAGGTTTTGTTCATTCATTAGTACATGACTACTATTAGTAGAAGTGATCAGGCTTTGTTCATTCATAAGTACATGACTACTATTAGTAGAAGTGATCAGGCTTTGTTCATTCATTAGTACATGACTACTATTAGTAGAAGTGATCAGGTTTTGTTCATTCATTAGTACATGACTACTATTAGTAGAAGTGATCAGGCTTTGTTCATTCATTAGTACATGACTACTATTAGTAGAACTGATCAGGTTTTGTTCATTCATTAGTACATGACTACTATAAGTAGAACTGATCAGGCTTTGTTCATTCATTAGTACATGACTATTATTAGTAGAAGTGATCAGGTTTTGTTCATTCATTAGTACATGACTATTATTAGTAAAAGTGATCAGGCTTTGTTCATTCATTTGTACATGACTACTATTAGTAGAAGTGATCAGGCTTTGTTCATTCATTAGTACATGACTACTATTAGTAGAAGTGATCAGGCTTTGTTCATTCATTAGTACATGACTACTATTAGTAGAAGTGATCAGGCTTTGTTCATTCATTAGTACATGACTACTATTAGTAGAAGTGATCAGGCTTTGTTCATTCATTAGTACATGACTATTATTAGTAGAAGTGATCAGGCTTTGTTCATTCATTAGTACATGACTACTATTAGTAGAAGTGATCAGGCTTTGTTCATTCATTAGTACATGACTACTATTAGTACATAGAAGAAGTGATCAGGCTTTGTTCATTCATTAGTACATGACTACTATTAGTAGAAGTGATCAGGCTTTGTTCATTCATTAGTACATGACTACTATTAGTAGAAGTGATCAGGCTTTGTTCATTCATTAGTACATGACTACTATTAGTAGAAGTGATCAGGCTTTGTTCATTCATTAGTACCTGACTACTATTAGTAGAAGTGATCAGGCTTTGTTCATTCATTAGTACATGACTATTATTAGTAGAAGTGATCAGGCTTTGTTCATTCATTAGTACATGACTATTATTAGTAGAAGTGATCAGGCTTTGTTCATTCATTAGTACATGACTACTATTAGTAGAAGTGATCAGGCTTTGTTCATTCATTAGTACATGACTACTATTAGTACATAGAAGAAGTGATCAGGCTTTGTTCATTCATTAGTACATGACTACTATTAGTAGAAGTGATCAGGCTTTGTTCATTCAGTAGTACATGACTACTATTTGTAGAAGTGATCAGGCTTTGTTCATTCATTAGTACATGACTACTATTAGTAGAAGTGATCAGGCTTTGTTCATTCATTAGTACATGACTACTATTAGTACATAGAAGAAGTGATCAGGCTTTGTTCATTCATTAGTACATGACTACTATTAGTAGAAGTGATCAGGCTTTGTTCATTCAGTAGTACATGACTACTATTTGTAGAAGTGATCAGGCTTTGTTCATTCATTATTACATGATTACTATTAGTAGAAGTGATCAGGCTTTGTTCATTCATTAGTACATGACTACTATTAGTAGAAGTGATCAGGCTTTGTTCATTCATTAGTACATGACTACTATTAGTAGAAGTGATCAGGCTTTGTTCATTCATTAGTACATGACTATTATTTGTAGAAGTGATCAGACTTTGTTCAAAACTTAAGAGGTTACTGATAGGTTTCACATTTCATATTGGAAATTGTTCTTCAGACTGAATAGTTTTAAATATCATTAAAAGAGCCACCTGCAAATAAAAAGATACATGTTCAGCATTGCAGCATACATGTATTTATCATGTTTACAGTTTATGTCAACAGAAATGTAAATTTTTAGCTCTACTGGTCAGAGACCAGGGGCCCGTTTTACAAAAGGTCGTAAGTCGTAGACTTGGTTGTAAGACCGAACTTACGACATACGACTGTTTTACAAAGATTTGAGACTTGCGAGCTACAACGAAATTCGGTTGTAAGTCTACGACCACACAGAGGCTGTTGCAAGTCCTAAGTTTCGTCTCAAAGGTGTTCTATTGGTAAATAAAAATATTCATTATGGCTGCTTTTCTTGTTCTTGATGTTATTGATGAAATGCACAAATAGAGAGGTTTGAGGGTATTTCGGGACAGAAAATATCCAGTGGTCTATTTGTACGATGCTGCGTTAATCGAGAGGGTACCAATTGCTGAGGCAATACCTCCATGACATCATAGATATAATGTGGGGTTATGTAGAAAGACCAGAAAGAAAAAGTCATGCTGTTCCTGCAGAAATACAAGTACATACCTTTATTATTGATGCGTTTTATTGTCCATTCATTCATTAAACTCTACAAAACATACGTCATTTCCTGGTAATGTCGTCATAATTTTGTGTGTATGCCGATAAGGCACGGATCAAACAATTTGTAAGTGGCAGGTGCCTGTCAAATACTACACTTTGAGGTTAAGCCTAGACACATTTCTTATATTTACCATTGGTGTTCAGTTTACATATACAAATGGTCCATAAAGGACATTTTGTTAATTTTTGAAAATTCATCAACATCTTATAAAGAACGACTAAAACACTTCAGCAAATTTTCTATATTCTTGCATAATTATATAAGTATATGTGAATATATAATGTACATATGTCTATCGAAGTCACCTGAATTTTTCATTTAACGTTACGTTAGCCGTAAAATTTAAAAAATAAACTGTCTTGGAGAAAAAGAATATATATAATTTACATTATTTGTTAGTACACATATAACATTACAAAAATCAAATATTCTCTTTTCTTAAACTATTCTTTAAAAATATTTGCTGTTCCTACTCCAGTCAAAAATTTTCATTTATGGGAAAAGATGACTTAGAATCATACAGTGCCAATTTATGCAACGCGGATTTTTTTAAATAAATCTGTAACGATAATTCAAATTATAATAATTTTCATGTCGTCTTATTAATCAGATTCAATTTTACTCTAGTTAAATTAATTGTTAAAAAAATTTATACCAAAATAACATTCCAACACATATTTTTTTTCTTTGTTATTTTTTTACACAGGTCGTTCATCTATATTGCTATAAAAATTTTAAGTATTGGCTGCTCCGCCCTTGACGTCGATCACATTTTTTCGTTGCTCCGTCTTCTGTACCGAGCT